CTTAATTATTTATACTCCATGTTAAAATAATTTCTCTGTTAAATTGTTACTATATTTCAATTTTTGTACCTTTCTGGTTGGAAATATTACTATTTATGTGCCATGGACTGGCAAATGTAGTCATTCATATTGTAAAAACATTAGGCGCTCAAATATGAATGGCATTTAAAATATTAAAAATAGAATATAATCAATAAATATTAAGTACTCAAAATTTAAATACATAGACCAAGTAGCTTTAAAATTATAATGAGATACCTTTGAACTTTCACCTGGCTGCTTTAAATTAATTTCCATGTATCAATGATTAATATGTTTGTTTGATTATCACTTTCATCTCTATGAAATAGGCGATTATTGTAATACTTCTTCTTGTATTAGGCTGAAGTACTTGCTATCTTCACTGTTGATAAAAGGCACTTTAAATTTCTATTGCAATTACCATACCTTATCATGTTTAAGCCCACTTCATTTCTTATACACATTTCACACTGATGCTATTTTGCAAATATTAAGAACTTGTAACAAGTTGTAACCAGGTTTGGATGAGTATGAAAGCAAATCCTTGTAAAACTTTCCGAGATTTCACAGGGGTCCCCTGAGTTATCTCGGAACAAAAACAGACCATCGCGAGGCCTGTTTTTTTCCCGAAATCTTCCGAGTTGTTGTTGCGCATGCGTTATGTCCCTATCTTGACCTTTTCGTGGGCTGTGTTTTTTTTTTTAGTTCGAATGAATGGCGGCAGCGATGGAAAACGTATCAACATTACTACCATTTGTTAATAGGCCTAGACCTAAAATCAAAAGAAATCTCACTAAATTTCACATGTCTGATGTAGAAAAAATCACGAGGCTTCGTAAAATACGCCGACAGCGAATCATTATGATGCTTGTCGCACTGATTGCCTCTAACAACAATGGTGAGCTACCGGCAGGTGGCCCGACTGCGCCTAGCTAGCCTAGGCCTATCTTTCTCGTCAGCTCGACTACAGCAAGTGAGCTAGGAGTTGAATTCGTTTTACTCTCCAAAGGCTAAGGACCATGGAATAATTATAATCTTGTTAATTCGGTACCAGGCCTAGTTTAGTAGTTGATATGTAATTCAGACAACCTACAACTAGCCCAGGCCTACTACTAGTACTACCCTAGGCCTCTGGCCTAGTCATTATTCTTCCGAGTTTTCCTGAGATTTCTCATGGTTTGAAAGTGCATGTGTGAAACGAACCAAAAATCTCAGAATATCAAACTTGTTACAACTTGTTAATAATTGTTAAAAGTTGTAACATTTTCTGCTAGTGTGAAATAGGTATTAGACTGTAGTGCTAGCTAGCATTAGGATACACATTTAGAGGGATAAGCTATCTTAGGCCGTCAGACTCACTACTATGTGCATTTTATGGTTCTCGAGTATAAGGCAGTGGCAGATCCAGGAATTAGAAGTAGAGGAAACCTTGGGAGGGACAAACGAAGGATCTAGAATACCTAAGCCCCACCGTGGTTGGGGCTGAGATAAGAAAATTTATGATTTTGGCACCTCTAGATGGCCAGAAATGACATTCTCAGACCTACATTTAATTATGGTTTTCCTTTTTCCTCCATTAAAAAAAAATAAATAACAAATTTAGTGGGGACCGGGCCAACTCGCCCCCCACCCCATTAAAAAAAAATAAATAAAAAATTAGGGGGCCCGGGCCGGCTCGCCCACCCCCAACCCCCCGAATCTACCGCAAGCTCAATTTCTTGTTCAAAAAGCATTAACTTATGCCCAGCTAACTATGGTATTATTACTATAGTTTATTCAAATTTTATTTTTATACTTGGTATTATTATTGTTTTATCTTTATATTAATTGTTGTTATTGTAATAATTTCATAATATTCCTATAGAGACATTTGATACAATTATTAATGTTTTCACAGATTTACAGACTTTACAAAAAAGCAAATTTAAGGGTCTATGCAAAAGAGAATAGGAAAGGTATCAGTACTGCTACAAATTGAAAAAATATATATAAAAAGGTGGAAAATTGATTTGATATATTATGTTACAATTATTTACAATAAAGAAAAAAAATTATCAAAAAAATATGTACAAAAAATAACATGTTTTTCAAATATATGTTATATGCATGTTTCTTTATCAAATTCTGCTCCTGAAACACTTTAAAGGCTACACAATCCAGCTATTAAGTTTCTTTGAATATAGACATCAATTGATCGTCATATTTTCACACATTCCAACTAAATGTGCATAATTTTGAAAGGGTTACGACATTCATAACTCAATAATGTTACGAACGAACAATAACTAATCCTTGTAGTTTTGCGTGCTCTTGCATCTGATTGGTTGGACTCGCTAAGAGCTTTTTTATCATTGTATACTGGTATCTATTAATCATTATGCCCATGAGGTTTCTACTGTTTCAGTTAATAATCTAGAGACACTAATTAAATTGTATTCATAGGCTAATGAGATTGAGATTCATTTACATGTGAATTAATAGAATTTAATTAGTATTTTAACCTTTGACCCACACATTTACCCTTAGAATAAGAGGGTCAACTTAAGCTTTGTCTACACTATAAAATCTCATCAAAAAAGCATCACATAAAATGTGATGGAAAATAAGAGTTGAACACGTTCAACTTTTTTTATACAGTTTGATAGTATGTGATATGACGTCATCGTACCCATATATTGGCACATCAGATTTTTTTGTCACATAAGATTTACAAATGGTCTAACAAAATTAAAATGGTAAAATGTAATATGTATTCACTGTTGTCAATTTTTTTTTTCATTTATAAGTTTACTATATTATAATAATTATTGATATATAAATTGTTCATATATATGTAAATAAATACGAAAGAAAACAACATACAGTAATTACTTGTATTAAAGTTTACCATCAATTATTTAAATTAGATTTATTTAGATACCACCCCCAACCCCCCTTTTGGAAAGTTAAACAAGAAAGAAAATGAAAAAATTGAGGTTATTTTCGTGTGTCTAGAAAACAAAAATTTCGCAGAGGAATACACCATCTCCTCTTTTGGACATCTCTGGATCCACCCCTGAATATATCAACTTGTGTTACAAAAACCTCATTAAACCAGATCTCCTGGAATTGGCTTCTTCTATCTTGGGGCCCCCTGAGCTAATATATTATTAAGAATTTCTTTGCATATTTAAGTTTATTAAAATTATGTAGCAGCATATCTTTCAAATTAACATGTAAATTAATATCCTTGAATAATGGCCACAGGTTTCAAACATGTAAATATTGCTTGGATGATGGGTACAGGTTAGTTGGGACCAGAATTGAACTTTTAACCCCAAAATTGTGTCTTCAACTAACACTGCCTCAATTGTTATAATTTAGAATTTCATGGCATTAATATGTAAATTGATATGAATCCATTGTAGGCGTATTATTCAGTATTGAAGCATCTACAGCTGTGTCCTGTTCATTAGACAATAATTCCAGTGATAACATTCCAGTGTAATCAAGGGAAAAGATATTATAGTGCATTTATGAAAAAAGAATGCAAAGCAAATTAAATGCTATGGAAATCTTCAGGGTTTGCTCCTGCACTAGGCCTATATTATTGAATACAGTGCAAGTGTCAAAATCTGGAAAAATGATTTTCAAGAATACTGTAACTTGTTGCAAAGATCAGTTAAAAATGTCCATTGGGACACTGATCAAAACAGTGGCACTTTTCACTAAGCCCTGCCCATTGGATATTGTTGCTAAAGTCCCACAAAATGTTTTGATTGGTCAGTTGTTATAGTTTGATTAGCATTCCGGAAAAGTTCATTGTTTTACTTTCCTATGAAAATTGATGGCTTGCTAATGGTAGATGGTTTTTAGTGCACATTCCACGATAAACTTGTATCAAGGCACGAACAGTATTTAGACCACGCATCATGCCTGAAATATCAGAAAACAATAAATAAATTTGAAAATTTAAGGGTCAACACAAATAATAAGAATGTTATAATTTATGAGTCTGTTTTAATAGGAGAAGAAAATATTCTATCGTTCTTTTATTTGCAATTGAAAGCTACTGTAATAACTTGCTATTAAAGTAATTAAAAAATTAAATGTCTTTCATTAAGTTTGATTACTCACTGTTTATAAATTGAACTGAAAATTGTAATCTGTAATTTCAATATAGTTTCATCACTAGAAAAATTGATCAGGTTTATCTGTAATTTTACAGACAAAAGCGGTCCTGGTATCATTTACTTGTTTTCTGGTTACTTGTTTTAGCCATTTTCGATGTATATATCGGCATATATATGTAGGCATAGCCTCTTGATAAATTTTCCACATAAGTACTGTTTACCTGCTGCATCCAGTGCTTGCCGCACTGTATTTGGGTCTCCCTCTCTTCCTTTTTTTTAAAACAAATATTAGAACAGGAAGCACATAATTTGTATGATGTTACTTTTATAGAACTTCAAAGATTATTAAAGTATCAGATTTTCAAAAAGTGTTAAAAACCAAAATTTTAATAAAATACTTTTTTTATTCCTTGACTGGCTAACTTATTTTTTTAAAGATCATCAGAGGAGAGAGGAAAAAATAAAAGTAAAATTTTGTTTTCTAATTTAGCAATAGTTTTGCCAAATACATCCAGACAGAGGAGTAAATAAAGATAAAATGTTACTGGTAAATATAAACAGTGTAGTAATGGGATAGTTAAATGCTTTAAATTTGTATAATTAGGAAGAAATTATACATACCTTACCTTTGAAGATTTTAAGGCAGCAGAGGGCGTAATAGAAATAAAGTAAAATTTAAATTTTTTTGTGGAGGAACGTACTCTAATTGGTAAAAAAAAATCTCATTTTGTGGTGAGCAGTTACTACGTTAATTTTGCTTGCTTCATTCTTTGATACATTCATATATTTGTCAATAATTCCAACCATTTGAAATGATCACACAAACTATAATTAACTCTTTTTTTCTTTTTAATTAACCCTCTCCAGAACGTTCCGAATCATGGATGACGACGGCAATAAAATGCTTAACTTAGAGGAATTCTGTGAAGGCTTGCAAGACTATGGGCTTAGTGTACCCAAGGAACAGGCAGCGCAAATGTTCAACGAGGTGGACAAAGATGGAAGCGGTTCATTAAGTTTTGACGAGTTTTTAATGGCCCTAAGAGTAAGTACCGTAAAAAAAAAAAGAAGATACAGTACCATAAATGCTCAAATAAGCACTGCTCTAAAATAAGCGCCGCACCAAACCTGATTTTTTTTTTTGCTAAACGCCACTCTCCAATATGCGCTGTGGCGATTATTTGGAAGTATATATTACCCAGTGCGTGATGAAACACTTTGAGAAGCAGGGTTTTAAATACAGTGTATACGGTACAGTGTTAAAACGAGTACATAACACAATGGAGACGCATGCATTTCTTTCTAAACGTATACTAACAATGTCGTAGGACCTGTGATAGGCCTACTGAACTACAGGAATACGTGAGATAGATAACATGGGAACGGGCATGGAAAGCGCCATGGCAATATCTTTTATAAGCGCTGCATCACTTATTTGAGCATTTACTTTTTGTTAACCAATTCAGGGGTACCGAGTCTACTGTGATTTAAGGGAGTTCCCACACTTCCGCAAACAAGCAAAAACCTCACGGAAATTAACACATATCTCTAGCAAATACATGATATGTGCGTGATTTACTACTGTATTACCAATTGTATTTCTGCAGTCGGTTGGCCATCACCACACATTACACCAGATCACTGCAAACTTGGAACCCCTGGGTCTTGCAACCCCTGCAAGTTCAATCATATACTACAGTATACATTTTTTTTTTTTGGTCATATATCATTAAAGAAGTCATTTTGAAAACACTTAATTACTGGTTACTGTTTTGGTACCCACCTTTTTTTATCAGTTAGCATTCTATTGTAAATATAAACATGTTCATTTCCATTCCCTGAACAACTAGTCTGTAATACCCAACATCATTATATCACTTTCTGACGGCCTCTCATCTTGCGTGGCCCACCAAGAATTTATAGCTACGTGGTTCCTATTGGATGTGTGGTCAAAAAATTAATTATTGGATCGTCTTTGCTATAATACTATCTAGTTGCTGTTCTAGTTTTTCAGCTTGAGGGCCGAAATACACATTAAAACAGCGTATCATCTGATGGAACAAACTTGGTCTTGTGTGCATTAAGTCACATAGTTCCGGTGGCTGGGTTGCAGGGGGAAGGGCTGGGGGGTACACAGGACTCTTGTTGGGAATCCCTGTAGCCCTGTTTGAGGCAAAGCCAGTCATATTGTCAGGAACACAGTTTGGAAAATAAAAAATTTTTTGCAGCCTGAAAGGGCATCTAGAGTTGCCTAATCTAAATCATAATCTAATCATAAAGAAAGTAACATCAAGGTTTGATGATGATAATTTGTTTCTTTTTCAGCCTCCAATGTCCGATAGTCGAAAAAAAATTATCGAGAAGGCATTTGCGAAGATGGATAAAACCGGTGATGGTGTTGTTACTATGAAAGATCTTAGAGGCGTTTACGACGTTAAACAGAATCCGAAGTTCAAAAGCGGTGAAATGACCAGAGAACAATGCTTTGCCGAGTTTCTCAAAAGCTTTGATAGTCCTGATAATCCTGATGGGAAGGTAAGGCAATGTCTGATCCTTTATCAGTGGCGTGTCTCGGAGTCTCCTTTAGCATGATTTATTTGATTTGAACATTTTCAGTGATGGGGTTGGGGAAGCAACCAGGGATGCGAGTAGTTTTTGAGGGGCATGCGTCCCCCGCACACACCCTGGATACACTATTGTTTTTTAGGAATTCAATTAGTTTACCGATATCATTACAGTATACAGTACCTCATAAATATTAATTAGGTAATAACAACATTTCATTGGTGTGGTAGTTTCTACTATACTTCTGCGCATGCCAAATTTATGCATATGCAGGTAAAAACGTACTACATACAAAATTAATGCATCTCACCTATGTGAACCTTATGCAAACAGCATAATTTAGCCTCACAGATCAAAACAGTGTAGATGGACTGTTTGCTGTCTACTGTTTATGATGAGGTATAGTCAAATAATACAACATTTTGGTAAAGCAGTGAATTCTACTTTCTTCATTGTTGGATAAATGGGACTACCTCCCTCCAGACCTCCCTACCCCCTTAAGTGGTTTATCCCATGTAAGGCATTCATAATGGCTCTGTGGATTGCATGGACAAGAAGAAACTGTATCATACCATATTGTACCTTATTTTAAAAGAATTGAAAACCAAATTAAAGTTAAATTGTTGATTTGACTTGTCATATGTAGTAGGCCTACTATTTTTTAAGGTAGGTTACTAGTAAGCCTTTGTCGACTATAAAATTTTCTTTGACAAGAAACTGTTGTATGCCCATATATAGTCATGATGTGCCTATATATGGTCATGATGTGATGTCATCATGACCATATATAGGCATGTTGCATGTTCTTGATAGGGCTAGACAAGGGGCAATGATCACTAATAGAGCAATGGATTTTTTTTTTTCATCAGGTAACCAGTGAAGAATTTTTGAATTATTATTCTGGAGTAAGTGCCTCCATTGATGAAGATGTCTACTTTGACTACATGATGAGGCAGGCTTGGAAGCTGTAGTGAAATTGTCATTAGCTAATAGAATTTGTTCTTCTTTGTTGCGTTTCTGGTGATGTTTTATTACTCAAGTCCATAATTTGAGCCACACCCAGTTTTATAGCTCAACCTCTGTCCAAATTATCCGCACACATGTGATTTCTCCATATATAGTCATGATGATGTTGTCATATTACACCCATATATATGGACATATCATTTGTCACATAAAACTTGATAGTGTGAACAGAGTTTTAAGCTCTGTGCATACTACCAAATTTTATGTGACAAATTTTTGTAATGTGCCCATATATGGGCATGATGTCTTATCACACCCATATATGGACATATCATTTATCACATAGAACTTAATAGTGTGAACAGAGCTTTAATCTCTGTCCACACTATCACATTTTTTGTGACAAATTTGTGTGATGTGCCCATATATGGGCATGTCTTATCACACCCATATATGGACAAATCATTTGTCACATAGAACTTAATAGTGTGAACAGAGATTTAATCTCTGTCCACACTATCAATTTTTTGTGACAAATTTGTGTGATGTACCCATATATGGCCATAATGATGTCATATTACACCCGAATATGGGCATATCACATTTTTTTTTGTCGTAAAATTTGATAGTGTGGACAGAGCTTTATAACTGACACTGTACGACTGATTGTGCTCGTCGCACTTCCAATGTTTACATTCCCACTTTTTTTTACATTTTTAAAGTTTTAATTCCTTGTAGCGGCTTGGGTTGTTTGATGTACAGTACTTCAATTGATTATTACGATCATATTGATAAATAAAAAAATACTGTCTCATAATTTGACTTTTAAAGATATTAGATTTAGTGCATTTCTGGTGCAATTTTTAATCCCACCATATCAAAAGGTGTGTTTTTAGATAGTTCTGAATGGCATTTGCATATTCAGTGAATTTGTATGTGGAGAAATTGTGTAAACATTTTGATGTGATCATTATGTAATTATGAACTTAGGTACCAATATTGGATTGTAATTTTCTTAATATCAATTTTACTCTAGTGTCTGGCTCATATATTAACATATTGTAAATTCCTTCATTCTTCCATTCATTGTTGTAAGGGATACCAAAGTTAATTTTGCTTCTTCGTTTTCTTTCATTGTATTAGAAACAAACTTGATTTTCTATCCCATTTATTTATATATCACAAAACCTTCTCTAAATAAGAAATGACATTAATTTATGATTTTAAATCTGTAACATTTATTATTATAAACCAAAATGTTAAACAAGAGGATTGAAGTTTGTAATAATTTAATACATTTATACACTACATTAATTCTTACAGCAATTACCATTGTTGTAATTATAAAACAGATTTGTACTGATGACAAATACAGTAACAATACATAGTAGCACTAAAATAAATAGAATAAAAACTAGAATAAATTTAGTAAGCATTAACAATAATAATTGTAATAGTGGGCATTTTTTATATTGTGAATACTTTATCCAGTTTTGATAATGTGAACGGCGATAAATATCGAATAATACAAAATACAAATATTGGTTGAGAATGTCTCGGCGTTGTGATTGAGTTGTTTCAGTCATCTTCAGGAGAATAATATCTGCAGAAAGTCATTTTTACATTCCATATAATTTTATTAAACCCCATTGAACAAGTGTTCAGTATGTTTTGTGGCTTGTGTGCAAAAAGTTATAACCAACGATTCCTTTGACTACACTTTCCAACACTGCCCTCAAAACCAATGCAAAATAACGCTGTAATCACGGGTTTATTCAAATAATATTCAAAGGGGGGACTTAGTAGAACGGACCATTGTAATGTAGTTGATTGAAGAAAAAAAAATGTGTATCGGATATTTTAGCATAAATTTAATTTGCTTGCCATTGATATTATTAGTTGGTTGTTGTTTCCATTTCATAGAAATCATTAGTACCTTCTTCTCTATTCTAGTTTGTAATTTTATATCACATAATGTAACAGTGTAATGTGGTAGAGTTGAAAGCTTGTAAAAATTATGAGTGAAAACATTGCCCAACTCCCTAAACCTTGCGTGTAACTCAAAAAAACAAAACAATGTAAACATAAAGCGGGTAGAAAGTCATCTTTCTACTTCAATTTATTTAAGTTTGATTTCATCTAGAATATATTGATATCCTTTATATGTGTAGTGTATTCTTGTGCCGTCTTTCATATCCTATTATGGTAATCAAATTTTTAACTCTTATTCCATCGGGAGATTTTAGAATCTAATTAGAAGCTAGTAGAGTTGAAAGTTTAAGATACTTAGCATGACCAAAATTATCGAACAAAATACTAACAATAAAAAGAATTTTACACAATTTATACTGTTGCCTGTTTCTGTTTCATTTCGGTTATGCACAAAAGATGACAGATGGAAGCCTAAGATTCATCAGACCCATAGCCAGGTGGATTTGAAGGGGTTCTGGCGAACATGTTTTTTCAGAAAACCCCTTTATCCAGCAAACCTTGTGACCAAATAGCCAATAAGCATTTTAAAAATCCTTCAATCCATACACAGTGGATGTTTTTTCTCTTTCCTTCACATTGAAAATTACTTTTGTCGGATATACAGTATTCTGTTCTTTTATTAGCTGCTGCTTTGGAAACCTCCATACTCTTGCCGAGGCAGCACCCTTTTACTTTCCATGACAACATAGGATGGTCACGCATGAGTGAACCCGTTGCATCGTCGCGCAAATTGAAAATCCCTATTATATTAACTGCAAGAAGTACGCTTTAAGCCACTGAACCCCATATGGCTTAACTCAATGATCATCACCCATCTATTGTGTGAATGCTGGCTATAGGTTGTTAATCATTCTAATTTTATATACAACCAGGACACATAACCACAAACAAAAGACAAATTTGATTCTATGTGCATTTATTCAGTCCATCCAAATCAACAGAAAAACATTACCAAACCATGGCTTCATATATATCATGTTTACAGTACTACTAGTATACAGGCCGAGTTAAGTTTTTTTTTATATATATAAAATAAGGCTATGTTGTTTATTGAGCAATGCCAATGTAATTTTCTGATGATTATTGTACCACAACTTTTATATCCAGTGAGGTCTATACAATTTTGCTGCTCCTGATGGTACGCAGGGCTTTTTTCATCATCTCAATTCCTGAAAAAAAATCATTATAAGGAGAATCGTTTGATATCGGCCTACAAATAATAAAGCGCTGTAGAAATGCTTTACTGGTGCTGCTGCTCCAATTGTTGTTATTATTGTCATTATTATTTTGATAGTGGGCCTAAGTGATAGTGATAATAGTAATGATGATAAATGTTTTGTACAAGAACTGAAAATATGTCTGATAGTGATAATAATAGCAGTAAATATAATACAGTAATCAATAATACTATAATTGAAAAATAATGTTATAATCATATTTGATACAGTCATTAATGATGATACTGTGTAAACAATAAATCGATGCACTACTTACCCCGTTTGAGTCTCAGGTTGTTAGCGACATCATTACTATATCCATCATCTAATATAATTATAAAGATAACGATATTATATTGAGTTATTTTCTCAATTAATATGAATGAAATAAATATAAATTATATCGAAGAGGAGTAAAGAATGAAGAGGTCCGATTGTCCTTAGTTTGCAATAAAACGAGAAACCGTACTACCACACGATAGGGGGCGCCCTATTATTTTTCGAATCTGATTCGAATAGAGTTTGAAACGTCCTGCACGTTTTTGAGATAGAATTGTGTTTTAAACTTGTATTTCTATGCTCTTTGAATATATCATTCTGCATTTCATATGACTTGTGTCTTAGGTTAAGCTTCTTTTTATTTGCCACACAAAGTACATACAGGAGAAAAACACTTACAGTACGAAGAAATTTCCTTGGTACCACATTTAAAATACCACTTTTATTTTATTGGAAATTACTTATGCTAGACTTCAGTGTAAACATAAGTAAAGCAATACAAACACATTCCTTTCCCTAGTTTTGGACAACCTTAAAAAAAAAAAAAAACCCAAAAAATAATATAATTAAAAACCTACAATTCTGTTTTTTTTTTTAATACTCGTTCAAACGTTGAATAACTTGTTTAAGATGCTTGGCTTCCAGTCCCAGGGTCCTAGGTTCAAATCCTGTCAGATTCCGGGATATTTTTCGTGACTAAACAACCCCACTCTATTAAGCCTCGTTATGAGGCTTAGTTTATGTAAAGCATCATGTGTAAATGTTTTTACATGTGAAGGGATTGCCACCTATCTAATAGGACAGTGCAGGTCGCTATTGGTAATCCTTTTCCATGCCTAAATGAATAAATAACAATTACCTTTCTTAGAATTACTCAACAACCTTAAGCTTACCTCTCTTACGCCTGCTACTGTTGGAGGATGATGAGGGCGTTGTTTCCTCCGAGCTGGCGGATGACTCGGAGCTGCCGGATGACTCGGAGCTGCTAGCGTTAGTCATAGTGAGAAGAGCAACTGAAAAGATGGTTTATACACAATTATAATTGTTTTTAATTGCTTTTTTTACAGTATTGAAAATTATTATTACAATATTTAATTAATTGAATGCAATATAGTCCTATATATGATATTGATGGAAGTTAGCCGTTAACACTGTTGAATAAATATAATATAAATCATCAAAGGTACATATACAGTGTTTAATAAGGACATGATGGAACATCGTAGGCTACCCTGTAGCTCCTGAACGAATAAAGTCCTATGAAAAATCATTGTGTAATAAAATGTCTCAGACGGGATTCGAACCAGCGACCTCTCGCTGACAAGGTGAGCGTCATAACCACTAGACCAAGAAGGCTTCATGGTTGAACAGGTCCAAATACCCGTCGGAAACA